CTATACGGATCAGAAACCTGGCCGTTGCGTGCCGACGTCGTCACTGTTAGGGCATCGATGTCTTCGGAGTGTTGTCCGAATCTGGTGGGAACACCGGTTTGGCAATGCTGAAGAACGTCAAATTGTATTCGGAAGAAATAACTCACCTTCGATAGATGAACTGATCACACTGCATCGGTTGTTCAGGGTTTGTCACGTGCTGCGTATGCCAGTCGACCGACTTCCTCGACGGGTTCTTTTCGCACAACCACGTGAAGGGTGGAAACGAGCCATAGGCAGTCAGACACTGACTTGGCAGCGAGGTGTAAAAACCATTACCATTGCCGTCTTCCTGGATGAGGACCTCGTGGCGGACCATATCAGTGGTTGAAGACATTGTCAGACATGACCCAATCGCGCCCTCAATGGCGCTCATGCATCCAAGCTATTGCTTTCAATGCATAGCCCCCTTCCTAAAGTTCCCCTTGGCTGTGCTGTATTCACGCACGAATTTATCAGCTCCCGTCTCCAATCCGCAACTGTCTACCCCACCTCCGAAATAATCAGTGAACGAAACTGCGGCAGCTACAACTACTGTACGTCAAGTACGCAGTTCCTACAGCTGTCAGTGACGATGATTCTTTTCGACACAAGGTGAATACCAGCTTGGTTGTTACGGATGTCGGTTACGTAGTGTGATGTTAAAGGTCACTGTGGATGCTGCGTCCACCGAGTGATACCATGAAGGACTTTATGGGGTTCACGCACAATCTTTGGAATACTCAAATTACAGCGGAGACATTGGCACTCTTTGCTAGCCCCACGCAGTTCGTAATAGGTGTGATTATTTTCGCCACCTTTGAGAAGTGTGGGATGAAAGTCGTCCAGGTTTTCATACTTTGTGAAGCTTGAAGAGTTAAATTATGCGTTCTTTTGCTTCGGACGGGAAACTGGTTCCATATTACATTCCAGTTCACCCAGCAAATCCCAGGTTTGGTAAAGGACGCCATAAGGAGGCGATGGTTAACTGTCGCAAAAGGTCCTCTATCTGTGGGGCTTTTCTCTTTCTCCCGACGCTCCTTAATACAGCAGTTTCGGTATTCACCATTTGAGCCGTCTCAACCATTGGTCGCTAGGATTACTGTTCTGTCATCGATGAACTGTTGATCATGACGATATCGAATATCCACTTTACATCGTTGGAAGCTTGGCCAGATGAGCTCGCTAGCTTTGGGTAATGGTTCTTTTCATAATGCACTTTTCCTTCTAATTGGCCGTCATCCTTTTGCGAGTCGCCCTCAACAGCCTTTGCTCTGGCCTGGTTCAGTGCTGTTGAGCTAAGGAAGGTGATAGATTGGTTGGCCCAGAGCCAGTCTATGGGGTTTTGTTGGATACGAATCAATATTTGTGCCTGTGTGATGGCATAGGTACTCAGACGGACCGACAATTATTATTGATGATTTCCAGCTGTAGCTGTTTGCCATGAGGTTGATCTGGGTTTGCAAGCAAATTAAAATTGGTAACCACCACGTAACTTGATGTGAGCGCTTGTGTTGCCTACTGAGAATTACCAGGGCTCACTGAAGAAGTCTGCTGTTTTCTGTGCGATGAACACTGCTGCTGATTAGACTGCACAAATATGCTTCAGGATTCATTTGGCTGTCTAACTGAGCAATCGGGTCACCTACCAGATTAATAGTAGCTGGACCCTTAGTTGAGTGGATCGTTTGTGACTATCTTATTCTGTATAGTATATGCTGACCTGAATGCAGGTCGTCTGTGTGGATTCGCACAAATCTTCAGTCAACTAAAAGCAAACAGTACTTTGTAGCGGTCAACATTTTTAGGCTTGGGGCAATGTTCCATGAGCCGCCATCAGAAGTACCAGAAGCGGGAAGTGTGAAATACCCGGCATTCTCCGATGGATGACTAAATTCGGCGAGATTACTTGTTCATTAAAACATACAGTTCATTTCAAACCAAATACGAATCTTCATATGGTTGAGTTTTCTACCTTGAGAAGGGAACCGGAAAACCGAAATATTTAATGTGAGTGGTGGATAGCTACGCAGCCACATTGGTCGGAGTTGACGAGTCGTTATGTGGTAAATTCCGGTTGGGCGCAAATAATTTCCTGGTCAAAAGCTTCAACGTAAACAGAAATGCGGTGATGAGTAACGGTCCACTTTTCAATTTCGACAAATTGTGGGTGTAGGACCTAGAATGAGATGTTTCCCTAACCAACATGTAAATTCTGTATGGAAAGACTTGTTATTAGCTGAAAAAGTGATAGAGACATTATCGGGAAGGCTTTTAATCAAACAACCTACAGCCTTTGTAGTACACAGTATCCATGAGCAAACCACTCGTGATAACAGGAGGGCTGCAATTTATCATTGCTTCGAAGAAATCAAAAAGCGCCTTTGGTTACTGGTGGTTGATCGGATGGCAGTTGTTCTGGTTTCTGATCATTGGAGTGAATTCAAAATACACTCACTACCGGAAGACTGGTCTTCAGTAGATACCATTTCTTAACCGTCCAACACTTCATTCGTTAGGCTTATTTCTGATAGAAGGGACCAATATGAGCTGGAAATTTACCGTCCGAATCTGGTTTACCGGATAACATTGGTCAAACGGCTGGACGCCTTCACATACTAGGAAGCCACGGGCGGCTTGCGGAGAGCCAACTATGATGCCGCTGTAAGTCCGACAGAAAAAGGTCGGTGGGTGGACGTGCAGAGCCCTGTTGAAAGCCATCAGTCAGTCTAAACAATATTTGATAATAATGGACACCAACATCAGTCACCTGTCTGTCATTGAGGTACCAGTGTCATCCATCCTCTCCTTCAACTTCTAATGCTTTACTACACCTCCCTCGGTACACTACCATAAAAGCATCACCTGGTGATACCAACAAGCGCGGTAATAAATAACATGGTGGTGCTCCATTAATCCTGTGGTTATCTTTACATCCTCAGGAATCCAATGTCGGGTGGTAGCCATTAGAAAATGGAGCAAACGTACGCGGGTTTCTCAATCTTAGGCGGTTTGTATCGCGTCCACGCTCCCGCTTATCTGATCGTGCTCTAAGATCTATTTGTTCATTTCGTTGGCCTGTCCTGCTCTGGTCGTCTTCAGGAACCATATATTCTGTGTCTGTTATTTTAAACTGGAACAACCATTCTGCGAACATCGTTTTCATTGCTAGGCACGAATCCAGGTCAAGTTCCGTTAACGCGAACTTATGGGGGGAGAATCGCATACCGAAATGTTTCAGACCAAGCTGTCACCACATCTGCGTGAAGTGCGCATGAAAGAAGAGAGCTTAGTGATTGATCACCTTAATGTTCACGTGACAGCTGTGTCATCTAATAAAATAGAAGCTCGTAATTTACCAGCAAAATTGCCAGGTGGTCCAAAAACCAACAGATTTGTTGTATTGGATGAGCCAACTAATACACAATCGACAGTTAACTAAACTGTCGAAATTCCCATTCGCAGCATAGGAAAAGAAGAGTACGCTTCCTAATCAGACAGTCGTGTCAGAAGTCTGGACAACATTACCTCGTTTGCGAAGCACAACTCTCCTCAAAGGATTTGTTTTCCTTCCCCTTCTGGATGGTACTACATTTCGGGTGACAGGTCATCCGTGATAACATCACCCCAATGGACTTGATGTCGCTCATTCTCACTTCCTTTAAACTTAATTTTTTCACCGAGATTGCTGCAAGAGAGCAAATAATTGCATTAGATAATCTTTCGGCACCGTGTCGAACTGTTCATACGTGGAGACCTTCCCCAGGGAGCACTCGTCCAAGTTCAGTCGGACAAATTTAGCCTTAAACTTTGTGCGGTACCCAGAAGTGTGGATGTGAAACATAGCCAGGGGTTAATTGAGGATCTCGTCCAAGTGGAACAGATGGTGGTTCGTGTCGTGGGTTTTGCAGTACAGGTTGAGGAAAGTGAACCTCTAATTGGTCATGAGAGCATATTTGGGAGGGCTTCCTTCCGGAACCTGTCAGAAATGAAAATGAGAGAAATGTGCGAGCTAAAGTAGTTTCTTCAATAGGAATGTTAATCAGTATCGTAGGTAGTGTAGTTTCCGTGTAGTTTCCGTCACAACGGGCCGGAATGGATCGTAAGGTATACCAGAAACACTGATCCCTCAAGACTGAAGTGACCCTGTTTTGTCCATCTGCCAATGAATTCACTTAGGAATTCAAGAAAAAGAAGTGAGATAAATAGCCATGCCTGGGCTCCCAAGCCTTTGCGCAATGATGCACTTATGTAATCTTCGGAATGGGTAGTGTTCTTGGGAACATGAGATCCGGTCGACAGTTTGTCGCGGTGTCCGTCGGACTGATCGGGCTTTACTTTACTCCGTTTTTCGGTCTTTGGGAGGTAGTCGCTTCCATAGTTTGATTAGTCGCCCATAGTATAATCTACTAGTTAGCAAACGGAGACATAACTGTCTGGGAAGTCTGCTAAAGATAGCAGTCGTGATAAAGTCGATGATGATAATGACGTTGGTTGTGAACCTCTGTTATGTGTTGATTGTGAAATCATACACGGGCGTAAGTCATAACTAAGTGGTTTCCTATAGCGAATATTTATCATGTGGATTCGGCAAAAAAACTTCACTATTATCTATTTTATGCTTTCAGTGACCACACATTTATTTTGGCCCACTGCAAGAACGAAACGCCGGTTAGTCTTCATTAGTTACCGTAATCCGCTCTCCGCGTCACCTTACAATTGATATATACGCAGCGTGTAACTTACACTCGTTGAGTTCAAGGACGGGATGAGCGTGTTCCATCGTCAGCCGTCAGTCATGCGCGTTTCGAGTGATTAATATTTCATTCCTTACTACCTTAGTAGTAGTTGTAAATTGAGTCTGTTATGAAGCAGCATGTTAATGAATACCGGGAAGCGAGTTCTATGATTTCAGGACAGACAGAGTCAGCACCTAAGCGCAAACAGCTACGGATAGTTCATGCTGGTATTGCGTTCGAAGACAATAGCAAGATGTGCTATTTTCCGATTCTTTTGGGTGGTCTTGTATGTACGCGTTGTTTTGCATAGTATCTCTTATCCGTATATATCCGCATAGTGTTGGAATAGCTGATTTCTGCTCAGAGGTAGAAAGTCTAGTACAATCGTTCACATTTTTTTGAAAAATAAACTTCTCACTCTGAGAGGACATCTTTGTTTTACGTATGCAAACATGCATGTTGGATAGATGAGTGAGACACGAAGCCTCAAAAGTATTGGGGATTATTCTGAAATTCGGGCCGTGCAATCCCCAAAACATGGTTTCGGAAACCATGAAACTTGACCTGGCATCTGAATAAACGCACAGATGATCGTAGAGTGGATTGTTTTCCCCTAAGTGCAATTGAAGGCTTGCAGTATTAGAGAGCTGTAGTAATTTCCGATAAATTTGATCACGGGCACATCCTACTCAGCTTTCTACAGGATGGTCTAGTAACTGTTAGATCGATTGTCAACTTTCTTGTTTATGCTACAAGTCAAATAGGGTGGTAATGTCGACGTGAGCTCATGCAAAGGTGCCGACAATTCTACTTAAGTTTATCCAGATTTTTGGGACTATGTCTGCTCGATGAGTCGGTGGTTTGCTGTCTGCGGATCCTATACAAAGCCTTCTTATCATAAACATTTCCGTCCATTTGGACTTTCTAGTAACATTATGTATATGACAACTACGTGAAAGGTACGTTCTCCTTCACGAGAGTGAACAGTCTATCCCTTTAGGATGTTCTGCTTACCACAATCGCGGGTACATCAGCCGTTCACAGCGACCATCAAAATCCATTCCGTTTCGCTAATTATACGTCGGGGATCGCTAGGAACTCCATTTCATTACATAAAATATGTACTCTGGACTATGGAGAACAACGGTCGACCAATATGCCAAGTTCCACATGTCGAGAAGAATATTATTTAACGATTTGGCCTGAAGAATGTTATTCATGCTATGGAGAATCTGAGAATCGCAGACGAGATCAGACAAAGAATGAGATAAGATAGCTGACCATCACAATTCGAGCACCAAACTGACCATTGGTGAGTAGCTTCATTCAATAAAATAAAATAGAATTCTCGAATGCCATACCAACCGAAACAGTAGGCCGTCCCGTGCAGCCCGTTTAGCTGAAGAAGAACATACTGAAAGATTCAGCTGGGATTCAGGTGAGTCCCTCGTTGAAACCAAATTGGTATTCAAACGAGTGTGTCTGTCGAATTTCATGCTGTTTGGGTTCAAGCGGATCACATGATTCACGGAGATTCAGAAACTTTGTCTACCTGAGGAGCTCTAAGAAGGGCAAACTCTTCATGGGCTATTGAGGAGATTTAGCAAACTTATAAGTACCGCGTTACATCTGAACAGAAGCCTAATGAAAAAATTGAGGCAGGCGCACGACCTTGCTTTGCTGAACGTTTTTTCACAAAACCTGGCAACCTCCCACCAGTAGTATTCCAAGTTATTTCGCATTGCGAGTGTGCCCCAGTTCAATCTACCCTTAAATTTTAAAAGACTACCGGACTCCAGGAACTTACCAACTGACTCAAGGCGATTCGTTCGTTACAGAAAAGATCTTTCAGAGTGTAGACATTTCGATCAGTCTCCCTTAGTGGTTCTTATCGGGGAAAGAGCTACCACACAGTACACATTTTCAGTAATACGTGAATTCTGTAGTGATAACCACCTTACAACGAATTTTTACTGACCTCATCGACATTATCAAAGCCATAACGGTTCCACTTCTTCAGGTTCACAATGCGAGTAATTTCACCTTCCCACCAATCAACAGAAAATGTGCATCACTATCAACAGTCAGTGAAATGGCTGTATGCATCCCTCGGAGAGGATGATGTCAATAGTATAATGCGTAACTTAAATTTTTCGAAAGGGTGCTTTTCAAAGATAGCACTGCTTTTCCTTTCAGCAAACTAGAGAACCGATCGACAATGCTTAATATGATATGAAGTATGTACATAATCGTTTGTGAACAAACTGGAGCCAAAAGACTAAACACTTGTGATGTAAAGCTCCCAACTTCATGCCTTATAAAACACTGACTTGACTTGCTTGACGATCGGCTTTCTTTAGATGACGGGAGGAACCGTTCAACTTAGCTCGATTCCTGTAAACCTTGGATTTTTCGTGCACAGACAACATCATGCTCCTATGCAAATATATGGACCATTTTGAACTTTCACCCGTTAAGATGTTCGTTACTAGGTGAAGATACCTGGTACCTGATAAAATGGTGTCCCCGACAATCGTGTTTGAATTGGTGAGTGGTCCTGCTTGTACGCAGAGTTAGAAGCTCATTAGCCCGGATATGGAGAAAATAAATGGAGTGGGCAAACAATCTTCGGATCGACTGATTCCTTTGAAGGATCCTTCGAGAAGTCTATTTGGAAACGTCGAGAATGCAAAAAACGGCGAATTTACCTGGACTGAACTTCTCAGAACTACGACGCCCAATATGAAAATCCATTGCATCCTGTGAGAAAACATCGTAATTTGAATAAGACAGGGAATGTACTAATTCATCTTGCTTTACATGTCTAGTATAGGCTGAAGTCCTTTTTAACGGCAGTCTGCCGAAAACAGCAGTGTTGAGCCTCTAGGATGAATCACGATAACACAGACGGTTTGTGAAGAACTGCGTACAATGACCCGACCTATATTCGATGCAAGACCAAATGGTGAACAAATTGGAGTCGTTAAGGTGTACCAAAGGCTGTCAACCCAGACTATAGCACCATTGATTGTTGATCAGGTGGCTGTTGATCTGTTCACCCAGCTTGGCAATTGGCTTGCAAACGTTTCGTCACCACACGAGGAAACATCGTAGTGCGCAGTTGGATGGGCACTTCTTCCTTGCCTGCATGCGCTTATATAGCATTCGCAGGCTATCTGTTATCTTTGACGTGATTGGCTACTTGAAGTGTAGAGAGTTCGATGAACATATTGGTCCATCTGTAATCTTTGTTGCGCTATGGTCTGTGTTCTTTTGTGCTGATTGGTTATCCCAACGCCTATCTTTAGTAGCTTGTTCTCTCTGGCCTTGGTTCGCATTGTCTCATGGTCTGACGTTCTCGAGTTTGATTGGTTGCTTGTACCGCCGTATTTCCTCCACCGTGGCGGTTAGTGTCCCGGTTAGCGTCTGCCGGTTGATTTTATGTTTCGGTTGGAGGCCTCCTCCAGTCCAATTGAGGTGTCCGTTTGATTGATGCTTTCCTGCTTCTCTTATGAGTTCCTCGTCTGGTTACTTTTGCCGCTCTAAGTTCTGTGGTTCTGGCGTTCTCTCGCTCTTAGTGGCTGTTAATGGGATCGATTTCGATATGCTGATGGCTTCTTCGGTAGAGTACCGCGCTTCCGTAAATTCGCGTTCTTTTTATTCTTGCTTGAGCCAATATGCGAACGCCGCTCCAATCAAACTTGTGTCCTTCCTTATCCTTGTGTGCGGAGATGAGGGAAAATTGATGGCGTCTTTTAATGGTGAGCTTTGTGTTCATATATTCTGGTGGAGAGCTTCCTTCCTGTTTGTCCTACATACCGTTTGTCGCAGTCCTTGCATTGGATCGTGTATATGACATTGTTCTTCGTCATTGGATCTAATTTCCCTTTTGGTCTTGATGGTGTCTTTCGTAGAGTATTCGCAGGCTTGTAAGCGGCCATTATTTTGTGCTGCCGTAAGAGCCTTGCCGTCATTTCAGCAATGCTCTTGATGTACGGGAGTGTGACTCGTTTGTTTGCATTGTGTCCTGTTGCATCGATCGTATTTGGTTTCTTGAGTTTCCTCAAGGTGAAATTCCTCGGGTACCCATTTTTCTGAAACACTATGTATAGACACTTTTCTTCTTTGATCTTGGATTCTGTTGTGCTGCAGTGTGTCTCGACCCGTTGGAAAATGTCCGAATGCAGCTTTGTTTTGGGGTTTACTTGAAACCAATTTCCTGGAATTTCCCGTCACCCAATTCTTGGCAAGCTATATGGGTTGACGTCAATGTTTTATTCCGTTGACTCATTCTTTAGTTGCGTCTCGAACGTTTCAAGAAGAGGATCTAGCGACAACCACCAACACCTGAAATTCGTTTTTCTTCCCTGAATGATATTGTGTCAAACGCAGTACTGACTTCGATTGGTATGCAGAATCCACACCACTCCGCCAACATACGTTATAGATGACGATTCCCCTACGTCGCCAGATCACTATCAAATTACAATGGTTCGCTCAGTAGCTTAACAAAAAACAGAATCTTTGTGATAATTAGAATAGTGGTAGGTATCGTAACTACCGAATGTACGCGTAGTATAGAAGTCCGAATATGGACGAATGAATATCGTATATTCGCGTATATCGCGGGCGTACTATATATCGCATCGTAAAACAAAGGCATATAAAAATACACTAAACAGAATGAATAGAATAGAGTCAATGTTCACCACATCCACCACACGTTGAATGAGCGTGCGGGTGTTTATAGTCTCTAATAGGTAGGAACCTCAAACGTTCAGATCTTCTCAACGTCGGA